ATGCTAAAAGAATAAATCATATATTTCTCTAACCGATGGTCAACGAAAGTCAAATTCCTTGCCTCTAGGGCATTTTCGTGAATTAGCGCTTTTAAAGTTAATAAAAACGTAAAATTTGGAACGGGCTGCTACATTTATATTTAAGTAGTATCTTCCTTCATTAAAAAAAAAAACAAAAAAACAAAACTTTCATAAGAAAACTTCATTAATTTGTTATAATTTTACGTATGTGATATAAAAATGTATTTAAAACTTATGCTACATTTGAAATAAATGTACAGACTTTTGATTTGTTTAGATTCTAAACATACTAAGAAACAAAATGTATCATAAATTTAAATGAACAATAAAATCAATTGTACCCATATTATAGGTGATCAAATGTACCTTTAATAAAATTGTAGAAAAAATCAAATTCTTAAAATGAACAAATGTTTAATCAATGAAATTAAAAAAACAAAAACGAAATACCTATATCAAAACGGGTGCATTCTTACTTACCCACATTAACTTTGGTGCTTTTTTGTTCGCCTTCAAGTAAAAATGTATGTTTGTGACTCATTGGATGTGTCAAGGGACATATCCCATGTTAAAAAAGGTCAACTTTTTCAAATTTTTTAATATTTTTTTTATTTTCTACTTTTTTGTCATGCGAGTCATGCTTGTTTTGTTCTATATAATTCGAGCATGTTCGCAGTCGAATTTTGAGTTAGTAGAAGTAAATATAATATAGGGTAAAGTATAAAAAACTACTTCAATTATTAATGTCACGATACTTTCATACTTCATCTTTTAAAATTGACAATGTCATACCTTATCTTACAAATTTGTGCCAATGTTATACCTTCCGTTAGGTTGGTGTGAATTTATCAGTTAAATGCTGACGTGACTTGATCTGGAGCCCATTTTCTATTAAAAAATTATTAAAATATTATTAAAAACTAAAAAAAAACCAACACTCAGTCAATTCTTCCCCTCCCCCCTTCTCTCTTTTCTCCCCATCATCATCTTCTTCCCCCTTCTGCAACTCCAACCTAGAAAAAAGAAGAGAGAAAAAAAAAAAAACCAATTTGTCTTCCCCCCTCCCCACCCCCCTCTTCTCCCCGCACCCACTCTCCACACCCAACCTCCCCACCTTCGCACCCAACCTCCCCACCTTCGCACCCAACCTCGCACCCACTGCCTGCAACCAAAAAAAAAAAAAAAAAAACCCAGATCCCGTTGAGGTGGAATCGGGAAACCTTCGCCAGGCCGATTCCAAAGGTTGAGAACCTGGGCGCGAAGAAAATGGGGGGAATGGGTGTGGAGGGAAAAGGGTGGGTGCGCCAGGGGGGGGTTTCGGATGAATTGGGTTTTTTTTTTTTTTTCTTCTCTCTCTTCTTCTTCTTCCTCCTTCTTTCTGCGTTTGTTTCGGGGGGGGGACTGGGTTGTGTTGGGTTTTTGTTTTTTTTTTCTTCTTCCTCCTCCTTTTTTCTGGGTTGCAAAGGGTTGGGTTTGTGGTGGGGGGAGGGGGGACGAACTAGGCTTGGTTTGATGTTTTTTTTTTTTTCATCCTTCTTCTTTTTGGGTTTGTTGTTGGGGGGGGGGGGCAGGGGGGAGGGTTGGGTTGGGAGAACTGGGTTGCAGGAAGATGGGGGGAGAGAGAGGGGTGGGAAGGACGAACTGACTTGAGGGTTTTTTTTTTTTTTTTTTTTTTTTTAATTACTTTTCTTTATTATTTTAATATTTAAAAAATATTACTTTTTTTTGTTTTTAATAATATTTTATTAATTTTTTAATAGAAAATGGGTCCCGGATCAAGCCACGTAGCATTTAACTGAGAAATTCACGCCAACCTAACGGAAGGTATAACATTGGGACAAATTCGTAAGATGATGTATGACATTGTCAATTTTAAAAGATGAGGTATGAAAGTGTCGTGACATCAATATGTTTTCGTACTGCTTCTGTTAGAAGTTTGTCCGTTCATATATTTCTTGACATGTTGATGTTGGTGAATCACATAACAACGTTTTGCCCTAAAATTTATACAAAATCCACTGGAATATGATGGTTTGATTGCTATGGGAGTTTGACTATTTCCTCATCGTCGTCCCGTTGTCTACGCCAAGGGGCTTCTTCCATAAAATATGCCGTAAATGAGCAAAGTCATAGGAAAAATAGAAAATAAAAGGATGGATACCTGCAGAATCATGCAAGTTGCAGAGTGACTCTTGGCCTCCATTTTCATTTCCTTTGTTCTGAAACCAGTTGGTGACATGGTGTACCCCTTGAATTCAGAAAAGGTTTCTCATTATTCAAAGACCATATGCACATAACACGTCGTTATATATTATTGTTACTAATGATAGTTATTACTATTTTGGTATGGATGGGTGTTAAGAGATGCGCATATATGATAAGCAAAGATTCAATTATATACCCAAGGCCAACTACATTATCCACTCTTAGGTTTGAAGTTGTTATCAAAATTAGTTATGAGGTTTCAAATTTTTTGCATTATACTTCTAGGTTTTAAAACTGTATCAGTTTATCTATTTTGTCTATTTGAACATCTAATATTCCATTAAATTAGTGACATGCCATATATAAGACGTTGTTAGGCTAACGTATACAATTTGGACCACACTGAATGGTTGGATCCCAAACCATTGGTTTAGAAGAAGCAGAAACTCCATGATGAATGTTTTATATATCACGTTAGCTCATAAAGAGGTCGGACACTTACCATATCATTTTGTTGAAGAACAAGAAGTTGACGGTCATACAACTTAATTAAAGTCATAAACTGATGCGATTTCAAAATTTTATGATAAAATTGAAATCATATGTGCCATATTTTAAAGGAAATCTTAATGAAACATTCATGATACTATTCACTTTTAATGTTAAAGACATTTTTATCTTGAAAAGTCACTCCTTGTACTATTCACTTACACATTTATTTTGTTCTTTTGATTAAAACTAAAATTTTTGAGGACTTTTGGTTAGTTTTCCTTATTGGTAAGTGGAGTTTAATCCTTGGCATAGTTCAACTTTTCATAAAAACCTGGTACAAGATAAAAATTTTAAATTAGTCCCTTGACTGGATGTCCACCTCAGAATTAACATTAAAACTCATATTTCATTGGATTTAATGTCTTTATGTGTATTTTAGTTCCTAAAATACCCCCACAATTAATATTTGATTTGAGGGCTTCATTTCCTCCTATAAAATAAGAAATTCAGATACATACCAAATAAGAAAACGAAAGTATTGATTAGAATTCAAAAAGTTTCATATCACAACGAAACAAAACTCTAGAAATCAAATTTTAATGAATACATCATACCAAATAAGTAAATAATGTACCTAAATCATGGTACCTATATCACAGTACCTATAGCATGGCACCTATATCATGGTACCTAATACATGGTACCTGCAAATTAAAAAAACATTATTAGAATTTTAATGTACCTCAACCATGGTACCTATGTTGGATTAATGTACCTCATTTCTATAGTGCGCCAAAATATAGAGGAGCGAATGGCATGAGAACCATTTGAAACCATGTGCAGTACATATATGCATATCATATACAAATATTGAACTAATATATCAAGTATTCCACAAACAAACAACAAATCCTAACAAAAACCCATGTACACGATTTTAGTGAAAATGCTAAACTTCCTAGACAAAGAAACGAATCTGCACAACACCATAGAAGAGGACGATGAAAGATTCATACAATTGAACTTTTATGTTTCAAATGGACAAAAATTGAAAATATATTAAGTAATAATTGCACACTCTTAACTCAGCATTTAAAATTTGTTATTGTCCATAATCACATATGGGCAATGTTGGAAAAATAGAATCAATAAAACCACCAAAAAAATAAAAGCTGACATGGATAATATATATTGACATGGATGTATAGTCAAAGGACTATAATCAATATTTAATCTTGTATAAGACATTTTTCTAATTATAATCTTAAGCAAGGATTAAAATCACATTTACCATTTTAAAAATCACTCTAAACTTCAAGATGCAAAATGGGAAGCTCCGAAGCGCTGGTATAGTTATTCGGAATGATAAAGGAGAGTTTAGGGCAGCTTGCTATACCACTTCAAACACACCTTAGTGTGCGTGCTACTGAAGCCATGGCAGCAGTGATGGGACTACAATCTGCCAGAGATCTGGGATTCTCTAGTGTGATACTTAAAATGGATTCCAAAGCAGTGGTGCAGATGATTAATGAGGATAAGGACTGGTATGCTATGCAACTGAAGCAGTCTGATTGAGGAGATTAAATCTTTCTCTTAATTTTAGAGAGTTTTGGTGTAATTTCCAAAGTCTGAGGCCAACAGAGTTGCTCACGAACTGGGTCAATTTGCTTTAAAATTAGATAGCTTCTTTTTTGGATTGAAGAGCAGCCATTATGGCTGCCTATTTTCTCCATACCGACGTTGTATCCCTTTGGGTTTTCAATGAAGTTAGTTTTCCATCGGAAAAAAAAAAGCCAGGTAGCTCGTAACTATAATGTTTCCACGTGCCTCTATCAATATCATGCATCTTTCATGACTCATGAGCGTTTGGTATATACAAATCGATTAAATAATCAAAAGATAGGTACGGAAGTTACATAACAAATATAGTACAACATAGGATTTTGGTTAGGGTTACGTCATGGCATACGAAGTATGAAGTTTCTTGCGGTACTAATATGTTAAATAAATGGTACTTCATAACTTGGATCCAGGACAGGGTTGGTCTTGAGTTTTTGGATGTCCAGTGCGAAAGCTCAAAATGTGCTCTTTTTTAATACTGAAATATATGTTTAAAAAAAATATTCAACGAGGGTTGGAACCCAGTCGAAACTGGGGGGCTAGGCCCTCAAGCCCAAATTATATTACTTGAGAAAATATACAACGGGGGGACATAGTACCTAAACTCCGACAATCAAAAATACAATCATATACAACCATTCCTAGCAAAGCTCCTTGAAATTTCAACCTTTAAGAAATTGTCTTCTAGCACTTTTTGAAGCAAAATCATTAATTATATCATCATACTCCAAGTCTTCAATCTCATTCTTTTCAATGCATAAGATTGCTAATCCATTTAGCCTATCTTGAGTCATAGTGGTCCGTAAGTAAGATTTTAATAATTTCAATTTTGAAAATGTTCTTTCTGCAGATGCCACAGTCACAGGTACAGTCAACAGTACACGATAAGCAATCAAGACATTAGGACACATGTCAGTTTCTTTTACAAAGTTTGCTATTTCCATGGATGTCCAAGGGTTATTAGAGAAAAATGCTTCTTCAGATAACATCATATGCAACACCTGTAATTCAGAACATAAGTCGGCTCCATATACATCCATGGTATTTCTATGTTTCAAATGTGCTTCAAGATTCATACAATTTTCTTTTAACTGTTGATCATCCAATGAAATTAACTTCAATGCATCAAACAAGAAGCCAAAAATAGATTCAAAAGTCTTTAACTGTTCAAACTTGTTTTTCAGTTGAGAAAGAGCAATATCCACTATAACAAGAAAATAATCTGTTCTAAATGATTCTTTAGCAGACTGTTGTTCCCTCTAATTACCATCAACTTCATCATGATGTCTTTTTCTAGGTCTATGACGTTTAATTTGAAAAACAAGGTCAATTTCCGAATCCAGTGCAATTTCTTTAGCATCACACATAGCAGAAGCGAAACCAGTTTCTTTGTAGTTTTCAAAAAATGTAACAAGTGCTTCCAATGCCTTTACAGCAACATCAAGACGCATGTTTTCAGATTGTAATTTTGTACTCACCATGTTAATCTTCAACAAAATGTCATACCAAATAACCAAACTTAATACAAAATCAAAACTGGAAAGTTCTCCTGATGCTAAACATCCTGCATCCCTACTCAATTGGGGATTCGCAGTAATTTCCACCAACGTAAACAAAACATTTCTAACTTGGGCTACTTGGGATTTAATTGCTTTAACACTTTCAATGTGACTTTCCCGTCGAATAGTTGACAATGATTTCAAAGTTAAACCATCAATATGTTCAAGCAAAATATGCCAACACTTTGTAGAGTTGGAAAACACCGTATATATGCATTGACATGCTCCAAAAAAATATTTTGCTTTAAGACATGAACTTGCCATATCACAAACTATTAAATTAAGACAATGAGAACCACATGGCATGTAAAAGGCTCTGGGATTTATGTCTAGCAATCTTTTCTGGACACCTTGGTGTTCTTTTTCATGTTAGATCCATTATCATAACCTTGTCCCCTCACATTATCAATATCAAGATCAAGAGACTTTAGGACATCTTGCAACTCATTAAAAAGTCCTTGACCTGATGTATCTTCCACACTTAAAAACTCCATGAAATACTCCCTTATATATATTGACCTGCTTGACAAGTCAACACATCTCAAAATTAAAGTCATCTATTCCACATGACTTGCATCAGGAGTTCAATCAAGAATGATAGAAAAAAAAATTGGCTTCTTTTACTTTTTTAATGATTGCGGTTTTGACTTTTGAAGCTAAAGTAGCTATCAACTCATTTTGGATTTTATGGCTTAAATAGTGGTGATGAATATCTTTATTCTCAATGAGTCGAAAATGCTTTTGCATTATTGGATCAAACTCTGCAATCATTTCAAGTAAACCTAAGAAATTGTCATTAGCGTCTTCATAAGGTCTTTCATTAGTTCCATGAAATGCTAAATTACGTATGGCAAAACATTTCACAACAGCAATAATTCTAAGCATCACTTGTTTCCAATGATTTGTCTCTTTCTTGAATCGCAATTGAAATTCTTTATCAATTGTCTGATTTTTTGTCAATCTACTTTTCAACTCAACCCAAGTTCTCGAATTAATGAGATGCTCTTTACTCTTTTCATGTTGATCAAGCTTCACACCAAGATGTCTCAAATCACTAATTCTATCTTTTGCTAACTCACTTTTTGAGGCAATTGTTTTAAACAATTTACAACAAAAGCCAAAGATTTTATCCAACACTTTTGAGTATACGAGCCATTTCCTATCATAAATTTCACCCATTGGTAATTTTCGATCATAGTAGTGTGAGGAAAATTTTCTAGAGAGTTTGTCCTTAGGATAAATGATATTAGTTTCTCGAATTGATCCCTTTTCTACAAGTAAGTCTCTCATTTCTGCATTAAGATAATCCCAAACTCTTGGATCATAAATGTTTAAATGGAAAATAGGTTCAGGAGATTCAATATTTTCCTCTACACCATTATGATCATCATCAACATTTAAAATCACATCACCACTATTTTCATGGTCTTGAGACTCATCACCAACATTTTCTTCTAAATCACTAATATTTTCATGATCATGAGACTCGCCAAGAACATTTTGTGACTCTTCACCAACATTATTTTCTCTCAAATTTTCAATTGACTCATTTTTTATAGAGAAAAATTTATGAAGAGATCCTCTTAAACTTTCGGCAATTTCGTTATCCTTTGCCTTTTTTTTTTCCTTTTCATATTACCAGAGAGTTGTTTCCTAACCTAAAAGACATGGCTTCGATAATTTGTTTGCAAAAATTACCTACACATGATAACAAAAAAATTCCTATCAAAATTATCATTCCAACACATTATATATTATAAAAATACAAACACATAGTCTAACATATTATAAAAATTAAACCTAAAAATTGGGTTTGATATGAAATCAAATAATTCAATTAATCAACAACAACAATTCTATACATCAATTATCATATAATTCTATGTCACTTGCAAAATTTTATATTAAATTATGAATTGATAATTCAAATTTTAAAAATTAGTTTACCTCAAAACTCAAAAGGGTTGGTGGTGAGTGAATGCTCTTGGCACTTGCACTTGCAGCAACCAATGAATGGTGAATGGGCTTGGCGCTGCTGAGGAGGAGGGACAAGGTCTTGTGCAGCTGAAAAATGAGTCAGGGTCAGACGGTAGGGGGAGGGAAGTGGGGAACAAAGGGGGGGATATCGGGAAAGGGGGAGTGGGGATATGGGAATAGGGTTAGTGGGGACCGAGTGGTCCTTTAATGTCGTTTTGTATTTTTTTTTTTTTTTTTTGTGATGCCTTGGACCGAGTGGTCCTTCTAATATCATTTAATATATATATTAATTAAACCTGGGCCCTTTTTTTCACCTTTCTTGGGCTCTTGCCCTCCAGCCCCGATTTGGGCTCTGGACCTTTTTTTTTTTTTAATACCTAGTTGGTGCCCCCTTTAGTTTTGGGCCCTAGACAGCTGCCTCTATGGCCCTGTGCCTAGGCCGGGCTTGATCCAGGACTATCATCCCATGAAACAGACGGCATTTCAAAATCTTGGATAATGTTTTTCACATACCGGCTCTCATCTTATACACACTTTTATTTTCATGGCTGTTAGATTGAACATTATAGTAAAATAATCTGTCAAAATTAACAGGAGTGTGTAGAAATATCAGAGAGACGGGCCATACGGCCCACTTCCAACAACATCGATATTGTCCCCAATTTGGTAATTACCTCATGCACAATCCGTTAGGTGTGGGGTTTTATCACAAAATGCCTCGGTATTAGTTGGAGTGGGATTAGGGTATTAAAACTCTTCTTTTGTCATTGATACGGTCGATGTGGGACATTTCAACATGCCCCCTCACGTGGGACCCAATTAGCAGGTCACACGTGGGAGATCCACACTTCGACAACCACATGGAGCCAAGGGGACTCACCCTACACACGGGGCCAATGGACCCACCATCATCGCGCAGGGCCAAGGGGACCCACCTATCACGTGGCAGTACAGTACGAGCCCGGTCCCTGGCTTTGATACCATGTAGAAATATCAAAGAGACGGGCCATACGGCCCACTTCCAACAACACCGATATTGTCTCCAACTTGGTAATTACCACCTGCATAATCCATCAGGTGTGGAGTTTTATCACAAAAGACCTCGGTATTAGTTGGTGGGATTATGGTATTTAAACTATTACTTTTCTTTTTGTATGGCCGATGTGGGATTCAACACACCCCCTCACGTGGGACCCAATTAGTGGGTCACACGTAGGAGATCCACACATCGGCAACCACGTGGAGCCAAGGGGACTCACCCTACACGCGGGGCCAAGGGATCCACCCATCATGTGGCAGTACAGTACGGGCCCACTCCCTAGCTTTGATACCATGTAGAAATATCAAAGAGACGGGTCATACGGCCCACTTCTAACAATACCGATATTGTCCCTAACTTGGTAATTACCACTTGCACAATCCGTCAGATGTGGAGTTTTATCACAAAAGGCCTCGGTATTAGTTGGAGTGGGATTATGGTATTTAAACTTACGGTCGATTTGGGACGTTTCAACAGATTGTGCATAAGATAAAAAATGATCTGTTGAAAACACTATCATTTTCATAACAGCAATTTTAGAGAGCTACTAGATTCTATGTAATTCTTGTCATTCACATTCGTAAGACTTACAAAGTAAGAATAAAGTAACATTTGTCAGCATTAATTCAAGAGTATATGTACCTACGAGTAATCTTGCCACTATTACAATTTTATTTTATAAAAAATAAAATCTTTAAATTCAAGTGCAATATTTAGATTGTACTAAACATTATTAATACGCCTAAATTTTTTTTGTACATAACGTTTTTTTTATAGGAAAACTAATGAAAAGGGTTTGAAAACTTTGAATTTTAATCAAAATGACAAAAATGTGTTAAGTGAATAGTACCAGGAGTGACTTTTTAGAGTAAAAATATCATTTTCGTTAAAAGTGAACAGTACCGGAAATGTTTCTGTTCATGGCTAGAATTTCTGTTGGGGATGTTCCTTAGCCGACGAGCACACAGCTTCCCGAAAGGTTGGCGCCGGTTGATGTTTCTGTCGGGCTTCTGCTTACTGGCGGGCTTGTCGGTCAAAACCTGTCAGGCAGGGCTTATCGGGCAAGGCTGAAAGAGAAGGACAGAGTTAACTTTGAAATGTGCCTTTGTGGGGCCTTAGGTATAGGCCTTGAGGCTCACAATCAAGATTAACTTTTAGGTGCTCAGGCGTGCCACTGCCATCTTTAGCATGGCAGATGTAAAACAGATGTTGAGTTTTAGTTGTATATATACCCGAGAGGCCGTGTTAGTTATGACGGGTGCCTTTGTGGGGCCTTAGGTGTAGGCCTTGAGGCTCTCAATCAATAACTAACCTAGTACTCGAACATATAATGTTTGAGTCATTGATTGCAAAAGTGTTATAACCATTATACTTCTAATTACCCAAGCCCGAAGAGCAGAATGAATCCAAATAGGTGCCTTTGTACGGCCTTCAATATAGGCCTTGAGGCTTCCCATCAGAACTCCTTCTATACTCAAACGTTCTATGATAATCATAATATAACAGAAATAAAACTAAGGGATAGGTCGATTACTTGCGCCCCAAGTAACTTCGGACTTCTTGTATATCAAGGATTGTCGTGGATGGGTTAAGTCCACATAAAGTTCTTTTTTATGCCTTGAGACCAAGGACTTTTGAATGATCAATCTTACATGCCCGAAGGCTTAGAACTTAGATCTGATTTAAACTGTGAAGACACATTTCAATCGGATTTAAGAACTGATGAGTCTTTTAATCACCAACTTGCTAGAAATAACTTGGATACAACTGAAAGTATACAACATATTGCTAGACTAATGAATGAAAAGACAAAACCAAATGGGGTCGGGCAAGGCTGATCGTCTTGCAACTTTCTATCTTTGTGATTTATCAAAGGGTTTGAAAGCTTAGAAAGAGGGATAGGGAGATGAGTTTACAGAAGGAAATCGATACTATAACAAGATTTAGACAAGGTAGCAGAGCTATTACAAAGGCTTTTGGTGAGGGTTGATCCCGAAAGGGATGAAGGCTTGGGCTGACTACAGCTTCGTTGAAGGTAAATCTGGTTTGAGCAGAGTTTGTGCTTGTATTTGTTTGTTTGTTTGAGTGTCCTCTACCAAGCTTATCTTGGCCGCATAACCAGATCATCTGATAAGATTCTATCCATAAAGATATCGGAAAACCAGCTGAGACCTTGTTGCATCCAGAAGGAATTGAACATAGCACATTGGAACTGAATCTGTTGTAAATTTCACCAATTTGTCGAAATGAAATAAACATTATTTTAGCAACCTTTTATCTTTCTGTCTTCTTGAATGATTGATGAACAAACACTGCACTTTGGTATCCCAAAGCCTGTTTTACCTTACCTCATCTTCAATATAACAATCTATAACATCCCATAATGTAGGACAATATTTTTTCAAGAATTTAACATTAATGGGATGTTTCTGCCAATTCCTTTCAAGGTCCGCCAAGTAGTATCCTCCCTTGTCTAATACTCGACTAATCATGAAAGGACATTCCCATGTCGGGCTCCATTTTCCAAAGCCCCTAAGCTGAGCTCCTAGAGGAATGACTATCTTCCACACTAAATCTCCTTCCTTGAAAGACTTTATCTTTACCTTTTTGTTATAAGCTCGGGCAACAACTTTCTTTCCTTCCTGAATCTGGTTTAAGGCTTCAATTCGGGCTACATCTAAGTCTTCAATCCCTTGACACATGGCTTCGATGTACTCTTCACTGTGTAACCCAAACTGATTTTGAATTTTGACAGAACTTACATTGATCTCCATGGGAAGCACTGCATCTTGCCCAAAAGTTAAAGCATAAGGAGTTATCCCTGTTCTTGCCCTTTTAGAAGTTCTGTATGCCCACAAAGTATTCCCCAACTTTTCATGCCATTTTTCCAGACTATCTGTCACCATTCTTTTGATAATGTTTACCAAAATCTTGTTACTAGATTCTGCCTGGCCATTTGACTGTGGGTAGTAAGGACTGGACTGGATCATCTTTATTTTGTATTTGCTTGCAAACACTTCAACTTCTTTTGAAATAAAAGATGGCCCACGATCCGTTACTATAGTTTCGGGCACCCCAAATCTATACAGAATCTTGGTCTCAATAAAATTCTTGACTGCAGCTGAGGTTATGGATTTTACGGCCGATGCCTCTACCCATTTGGTAAAATAATCCGTTGCTATAATTATGAAAGTCTGCCCCTTGCTAGAAGCTGGATAGATCTGCCCGATGAAGTCCATTGCCCATCCTCTGAAGGGCCAAAGCTTGACTACTGGATTTAAAGGCACTGAAGGCACATGTTGGAGGGGTCCATGCCTTTGACATTCTTCACAGCCTCGAGCATAGGACTTGCAATCTTTTTCCATGTTGTGCCAGAAATACCCATACCTTCTAAGCAACCACCTCATCTTTATTCCAGCCTGGTGTGATCCGCATACCCCTTCATGTACTTCGGCCATCACTCTCTTGGATTCCACTTAGCCTAAGCATTTCAATAGTAACCCGTCCGGAGTTTTCCTTAGTAGGTTCTTCGCCCATAAGACATACTTGGTTGCTTGCAGTCTATTCTTCTTGCTTGTGGGTGAAGAGGGATCCTTTAAATGATGAATGATGGGCGACCTCCAATCTTCTATCTCAGTTTCTAGAAACATTACATCCAGACTAAATCCTCGTTCCAGGATAGAAGGAAGGTTTCTTCTTTGAATCTCGACATCTACCCCATATTTTCTTTCCTGTATTGGCACGTCTGAGGCTAATTGCACCATCTCGTTGGCCGTTAGATTGGATCCCCTGGGAACATGATTAACTGATATCTCAGCATCCCAATAACTCAGCAATTGCATGGCCGCCAAGTAATACCCTGCCATGGTGATATGTCTGCACTTGAACTCCCCATTTAGCTGGTTTATTACTAACTCTGAATCACCAAAGACTTCTACCTCCACTGCCCCCAGATCCATCAAGACTTCCAAACCAATTATTAAGGCTTCATACTCTGCCCAATTATTGGTGTTCCCTTGGTAATCTACGAGAAATGAGTAATAATGATAAACCCCTTGAGGGTTGAAAATTACAATCCCCGTTCCTGAAGCCTTATGAGTGTAGGAACCATCAAAATACAGCTTCCAATGAGTAATCCAGAGGCCAGTCACTCTTTTTATCTCTTGCTGGACCCACTCATCTTTGCCCGAAATATCTTTGCTTGGCGGGATCCAAACACTCATAACTTCCAGGGTTCTCGGGATATTGATTATCTCATCTTGAGACTCTTGATGCTCCGCCAAGAAGTCGGCAATTGCTTGGCCTTTGACTGCCCTTTGGGGTACATATTGAAAGTTGAACTCTGATAATGCTAGAATCCACTTCCCAATCCTTCCTACTAGCATTGGTTTTGACAACATATACTTTATCACATCTGTCTTGGCGATGATGTGCACGTGACAAGGTAACATGTAATGCCTCAGCTTACTGGCATTAAAATACAGAGCTACGCACAATCTTTCTACTGGGGAATATCTTGTTTCTACCTCGGTTAGAATTCTACTGAGGTAGTACACCGCCTGCTCTTTCCCGCCTTCATTGTTTTGAGCTAGCAAACTCCCGATTGATTTCTCTAAAGCAGAGATATATAGTTTTAAGGGTTTTCCCCTTTGAGGTGGTACCAACACTGGTGGAAAAGTCAAATAGGCTTTGATGTTGTCGAAAGCCCTTTGGTGTGGTGGTCCACACTCGAAATTTTCTTTATCCTTCAGTCTTAGCAAAGGAGTCAGCGGCTGGATCTTACCCGCTAAATTGGCAATGAATCTTCTTAAGAAATTAATTTTACCTAGCAGCCTCTGGAGTGGTGAGTGAAGGCGACTCCATTATTGCCCAAGATTTGTTCTTGTCCACTTCTACACCTCTTTGATGAACAAGGAATCTCAAGAAATTGCCCGTTCTTACTCCAAACGCACACTTCTTGGGATTCATCTTCAATTTATGGATCCTCATTCTTGTCAATGCTTGTCTGAGGTCTATCAGATGCTGCTCTTCTGTTTTGAATTTCACCACAATGTCATCGATGTACACTTTGATGTTCTGGCCAATCAAATCATGAAAGATGACATTCATTGCCCTTTGGTAGGTTGCACCAGCGTTCTTGAGCCCGAATGGCATGACCATGTATTCATATGCCCCCACATGCCCGGGACACCTAAAATCTGTCTTATGTATATCTTCCTGGGCCATCTTTATCTGATTGTATCCGGCATTTCCATCCATAAAAGATAAGATTTTGTGTTTTGCTACTGCATCTATGGATAGATCAGCCATAGGCATGGGATACTCGTCTTTTGGTGTAGCGTCATTAATATTTCTGTAATTAACACAACATCATACTGCTTTTGTTATAGCTTTTAAAACGGGTACAATGTTGGCTAACCATTCTACATATTTGGCTGGCCTAATAAATCCAGCTTTTTCTAGCCTTTCAATTTCTTCTTTGACCTTCTCTTCTATCTCCTTTGACATCCTTCGTGGTGCTTGCTTAACAGGTTTATATCTCTCATTGATGGGCATTCTGTGTTCCACCAAGGTTGAATCTAAACCTGACATCTCAGTATAATGCCAAGCAAAACAATCTTTAAATTCTTGCAAAAGACAGATAATCTTTGCCCGATCATTAATCTCTAATAAACCACTAATTTGTATTGGTCTTGGATCTTCCTCTGTCCCTAGATCAATAACTTCCAAATGATCCTGAACTTCTGGTGGTGGCTTATTAGGTTCTGCACATAAAAATTTGATTAACTCCGGGTTCTCGAGCAAGTCGTCTGGCCCATCCAGGTTATATATGCACTCGGTCATTCATATGGTCATATCCAACTCTTATTCGCAAAGCTCTTCTCTGCTTTTATCCTGATTGGTCGAAGTTCCTAGCTGCCATTCCTGCTCTTCTTTGTCTAAGAGTTCCCTTTCTTGTTTTCTTCATTTCCCATACACCAACAGTCTTTTGATCAGGGACCTGACTGCCATTACCTGATCATTCCTCTTTTGTTCTGTCATTGATGGTGTAAGGGCGTTGGGACGATACAAGGTATATCTCACTCCTCTCTAGTAAGGAGCATTCCTTGTTCTAAAAGCTTTTGGGCCATCACCTTGGTAGGGCGGCCGTTCTCATCTGCTCCTGAACATTTCAGAATTCCTACATGCTTCCGCAACATTGGTTGTAGGGAGAAATGGCCGTGATTCGGCCTCTACTATCTCTCAAAAGCCTAGTCCCTCTGTGCCTGCCTCATGATAAACAGCCACTTGTTGATGTAGAGTGGAGGGTATGGCAAGACTTTGGTGGATCCAATCCCTTCCAAGTAAGGCTCTATAGTTGGAAGTGCAATCTACCACAAAGAATGCCAACATGATTTGTTTGGACCCCAAATCCACTTCTAAGGGCAATATTCCATGAGTTTTTGTGATAGCGCCCGAGAAGCTTGAAACAGTGAGGTCCATAGGAATAAGATCTTCTGTGCTTCTCCCCATCTTCTTCATTTGCTTGGCTGGTAGCACGTTAACAACTGCTCCTCCATCTATTAAAACCTTTTTGAAGGGCACCCCTCCAAATGAGCTGTAACATCTATTGGCTTAAGATGATTGGTAAGCAAAATGTTTGGACGGCTGAACACCATTTTATCTATATAGATCCTTAAATGACCATCCTTGGATGCTTCGAATGATTCAGCTTTTCCCGACTCTCCCTCTTCAGCTACCTCAATACTGACATGGGCCATCATTGGCTCAGTTGTCACATAGTCACCTTCCATAGTGGCGGGCTAATTAGGTATGGCACCAAACATGGCGGATAACACATACGCCATGTTGATATGAAAATTGCTAGGCTCTGGCAGTTCTTCTTTCTTGCTCCCGATCTGGTCCATGAACTCATCTAACCAAGCCATCGCATCTTCTGGAAGCAATGGTTCTGGTGCCCCCTCCTGCTGATTCATGCCCAAATACCGTGCTTGCTTTGGAACTTCACCGAAAGGATCCACTAATGATAGAGAATGTGGTTTTCTTTTAGGTGAAACAGTTCCAAAACAAATAGGCTATGTCTTCCATCCGGAAGTTGGCACCATGATCATACCTTCTTGAGCTCTCCTCAATATCCTATATTTCCCAAGGTTTAGGCTTTGCGGTACATGGTTTTCCCTCGCCTTCTGTCTTGCTATTAGCCTTTTCCACCTTTTTTTTACTCATCCAGCAAAACTGACTACTTCCCCCAGATGACGTTTTTTCCCACTTTTGATTCTTGGATGCTTCAGACATCGCAGGGGTCTTTAAGGAGTTCATGTAGGCTTTGTATTGCCTTTGGACCCTTCTGATCATGGAGGCACCCATTTGTTTAACGGGCTGTCCATTTTTCCCAACCACGTACCATTTTCGCTCGAGGCGGGCAGGGTTATCTTTCTTGACAGGATTTTTTATCCTATCATTTCTCTTTACTTCTCTTCCCATATGGCCGTATTGAGAATGCTCTATACTCCTCTCTTTTGGCTTTTTGGCATCTTTATCTTCTGCCTCTTTAGAAACTTCATGATTACGAAATATCTCTGATAAAGCTCTAGGTTGGGAATCGTTTCCTAACCGTTGAAAAACATTTCGGGAGTATCCCTTCCTGCAGTCCGCCTAACTTTCTCACGGACCTATTTTCTTTCTTCTTCTTTCTTCCTCCTGATTAGCTCGTGATCCATGAGGACTCCTACTGGTGGTATTTTGAGCTCACACTCGCATTGGCATTTACTGCACAGAACCATCCCTTTAATTATGGTTGCTTTTGGATGTTCGGGCAATTTGATTACCCTTTTTGTGGATTTGTCAGCCAATCTTCCTTCTTCTTCCTTTGTGACATTTTCTTTCCTCTTCTCAGCCCATGCCATACTGATCATATTCACTGGGGCCTCTGAAAAGGGATATGCAGGTTTGTCCACCACTGCTTCTTCTAGCTGGTTGGTTTTAAGTCTCTCTTTTTCCCTATCATCTTTTTCCTTAAGTTGAGGTAAAGATATAGGAATAATTGGTATTATAACCAGGTCTACTTCCCTTCTGAAGCCTGCGGAGGCACTCTCCAATCTTTGCAACATTTGCAACAAGGTAGTTTGCAAATCTTCTGGCAGTTTTGACATATTTCTTTTGATCAAGTAGGTCCCACTAGGCGTGCTAAAACTATGTTCGTGGCTAGAATTTCTGTTGGGGATGTTCCTTAGCCGACGAGCACACAGCTCCCTGAGAGGTTGGCGCCGGTTGATGCTTTCTGTCGGGCTTCTGCTTACTGGTGGGCTTGTCAGGCAAAACCTGTCGGGCAGGGCTTGTCGAGCAAGGCTGAAAGAGAAGGACAAAGTTAATTTTGAAAGGTGCCTTTGTGGGGCCTTAGGTGCAGGCCTTAAGCCTCACAATCAAGATTAACTTTTAGGTGCTCAAGCGTGCCACTGCCATTTTTAGCATGGCAAATGTAAAACAGATGTTAAGTTTTAGTTGTATATATACCCGAGAGGCCGTGTTAGTTATGACGAGTGCCTTTGTGGGGCCTTAGGTGTAGGCCTTAAGGCTCTCGGTCAATAACTAAGCCAGTACTCGAACATATAATGTTTGAGTCATTGATTGCAGAAGTGTTATAACCATTATACTTCTAATTACCAGAGCCCGAATAGCAGAATGAATCCAAATAGGTGCTTTTGTAGGGCCTTAGATATAGGTCTTGAGGCTTCCCATCAGAACTCCTTCTATACTCAAACGTTCTATGATAATCATAATATAACAGAAATAAAACTAAGGGATAGGTCGATTACTTGCGCCCCAAGTAACTTCGGACTTCTTGTATATCAAGGATTGTCGTGGATGGGTTAAGTCCACATAAAGTTCTTTTTTATGCCTTGAGACCAAGGACTTTTGAATGATCAATCTTACATGCCCGAAGGCTTAGAACTTAGATCTGATTTAAACTGTGAAGACACATTTCAATCGGATTTAAGAACTGATGAGTCTTTTAATCACCAACTTGCTAGAAATAACTTGGATACAACTGAAAGTATACAACATATTGCTAGACTAATGAATGAAAAGACAAAACCAAATGGGGTCGGGCAAGGCTGATCGTCTTGCAACTTCCTATCTTTGTGATTTATCAAGGGGTTTGAAAGCTTAGAAAGAGGGATAGGGAGATGAGTTTACAGAAGGAAATCGATACTTCAACAAGATTTAGACAAAATAGTAGAGCTATTACAAAGGCTTTTGGTGAAGGTTGATCCCGAAAGGGATGAAGGCTTGGGCTGACTACAGCTTCGTTGAAGGCAAATCTGGTTTGAGCAGAGTTTGTGCTTGTATTTGTTTGTTTGTTTGAGTGTCCTTATCTCTGATTTCTCTTTCTTCTTTTATAGACACTTCGGCTTAGCCTCTTGTAGCATTAAGCTTGCTCGAATGCAGCTTGAAGGGCAGTGACTCATCAGCTATTTACTTGTACTGCCACTGTAAAGTACTTTTAGGCTGATTAGTTGGCTGGTCTACACCACTTGGTCTCTAGGCAGGTGAGCAAGTGGTTCAAATAGCCTGCACCTAGTCAAAAAAAGGCCTCTCCTGCCTTCTGGGCTTTGGCTGGGCTTCGGGCTTTTCCCCTTCTAGACCTCCTTTTGGGCCAACTCCTTCTTGAGCCCAAAGTTCAAGTTTTAGCCCAAACAGTTTCGTTAAAACTCTTTATATATATATATATATATATAAGATGTCTTGAAAAAAAACATCTTACATCGACTGAGTTTTCTTCAACTTTGCACGCTTACTGACAAAGATTATTTATGGTATAGAGAATGGTCGTTTTTTTAGGTTTAATACCCAATTTTAAGCAAGTTGAGACTAAAATTCTAAACTTTAATCTCTAAAAGCATTTTCAATGGGCTCCCTAAATAATGTCTTAGTTAAAAATTAGGGAAAATTTGAAAAAAAAATAATCCATCTCTAATCACATTTCCTATCCACCTCCTAAACTTGAGATGCTATTAGAAGCTCCTAAATCCTGGGAACGAGAAAGGAGCTCCTACGGCTCTTAACATTATTTACTGATGATTAATGCTATTTTAAACATTTACGTCTATTATTTTTTTATTGCAAACAAAACCTCTGAAAAGTACTATAAAAATAGTAACCACGAGCTGGTGGCCCAGTGGAAAAGGGATTGCGAGGCTTTCTTCAATCACTACAAAATAGAGATCTTGGGTTCGAAATCCGTTGCTGGTGTGGAAGCCAAACTTATGAACAATGGGAGGCCAAAATGCCTATGTGAGTCTTTCCGAGCCTCGGAAGGGGTGGATAACCGTAACTTACCACTCGTTGTCCCCCTTTTAAAAAAAAAGAATACTAAAAATAGTATAATTTAATTAAAAAATAGAAAGCATGATTTGAGTTTTCTGTTAGAATTACAGGCCAAGTCAATTTGTTTGGGTAAATGCACGTGGTATTTTAGGTCTTTTATTTATTTATTTATTTGAGAAAATTGTATTGTGCTTGTTTTTTTTGTTTATGGAATGGTATGGTGCTTTTGTTCACTAAGAAAAAAAAAAGAGAAGGAATTATAAAATTTGGAATTGTGAGCCATATAAGAGCATTTTCTTCCATTTTGTCTTGCAAAGGACGAGGGGAAGCTTGGATAATTACAGTTCATGTAAATAGTAATTGCCTGTTGCTCTAGCAATTTTCTCTCTTTCTACCCATAGTCAAAGGCAATTACTATCCACAATTTTTCCTTTGCAATCTAAACTTTCTATATTTAGAAATAGAAAGAAAAATCACTTATGAAGACTGCAAAAACAAAAAATTTGGAGTGCCAATCCAAACAATAAAAAATTTATATAAAGGAGGTTCACCGCAAATATCAACGAGACTATATAAAATGTGTTTGCTTCAACATAAATTATAACCCGATCCTAATTTTAGGGTATTTTAATCCCCAAAGGTATTGACTTTCATTTACAACCTTGTTAAGAGTTTGACATGTATGGTTTATTATCTTGACATATTTATGTAGTATTCGTCATCACAAACGTGTGAGCACAAGCTAAACAAATTTCAAGATTCAAATAAGGAAGTTATGAATTTTTAAGTTCGTTAAAGTTTGATTTTTATTTTTTTTGTGGTTTGCTGATTAAAAATCTATATACCTTTTGGGGTCACTCTTGGACTAGTTGGGTAGAGGTCAATCTCATGAACGCATAGGCTAAAACTATTCGTGAAACAGAGTTATAACGAAGGAGAAATAAAGGAGCAAAGAAAGAGGCAAATTGATCTCTTGGACTATCATATATAGCAGCTCCAGCAAAGCTAGAACAACTTTTCCAAATTCAGAAGGTTGACTTGAGTAGTTGACTTAGATCTAAGGGTGGGTTCAAAAAACCGAAAACCGAAAAAAACCGAACCGAAAAAAAACCAAACCGAAATTGTCAAAACCTAACCGAACCAAATATGGCTAGTTTGGTTTCGATTTTTGAGGTTCGAAAACCGAACCGAAATATATATTTAATTATTTTTTAGAATATTTTAATTATAAAAATCATTAAAAAAAAAACTTCGAAATCTTGGAGCCATGAGAGTTCGAACCCATACGCTCCAACTTGAGAAAGTTTCACTGAAACCAAGTTGGCAGTAGGTTTTGTTTTGCTATGGATGTATGACTAAGTTATTTATAAAATTGAAATCTATAGTCTTTTGTGCTATTAGTGATCAACAAAACCCTAGGCAGCCACACCTTTTCTATTTTTCATTCCCCTCTTCTTTCTCGTTC